CGCGTCTGCCTCCGCGACCCGAAAGGAGAAGCGGCGATGGAAGATGAAGAAGATGAAGATTGCTATTTCTGAGATGATGCAGCGTTTATCGTTCAGGGCGAAGTCGATTTCATTCTTCGTTACCGAGTTGGGTGTCATTCATGACCACATGTTGGTCTTCTTCTTGAACCAGGCGTTGCCTATATGCAAGTGTTTCGTTTCCGCAATATCACCGCCGGTCCCATGGCTGATTTCGATTTCCAGTGCCGTACATGCTTAAGAAATTTTCTTCGGTCCTTCTTCATCCGAACTCGGCACTGAAATCATTCACGGAGGAAATACATCGGCTTTAGGATCAATGCCTGTTCCAATTATTGATGGAATTATTTCACTTCCACCTCGTCGACTGAAATTGTGGGAGCATAGGTCTGCAAGCTGTTCAAGCTCTTATTTTTCAATTGGAGGCACAGAGTGACCAGTCTTGGTGAATTCACATTTTGGGACACTGACTTTTGCTGACAGCAGCTTCCACTCGTGTTTTTTGCGTTCTTTTTACTATCTAGCCATATCTAACTACCATGTTCCTAGATGCGATTTATTTCCTGCCGCCCGTCGCTTTTTGCAGAGGCCAATTTCTGAGTTAGTTGGCTTAACATTTGTTCCTTAGCCAGTATCATACAGTTATAGATGCAGATGGTGAAAGAAATTCGAATCCATTTACGAGAAGGCGATATTTCACCTGAGATTCCTGGCAGCTTATCGTTAGTCGAATACCGAACCGCCGCCGTTAAAGCACACAGGCGAGGTACTGAAACCCATTTATTGGTGTTGTCATAGCGCATGAAGTTTGCCATCCGTTGACAGGGCAAACGGTGGCCTGGGGAAATTCCTACAGACGGATCCCCCAATTCTGTCAAGGTTTTATGGAAAATGTCTCTTATAACGTTTGATCAACCGACGACTAACTGCAAGGCAGGAGTGATATTGGTGGCCTTTTCTTTCAAAAGGGCGGGTCTCTTTCGCCTTGACACGAGACTATCACTGGACATTGTCACTTTTTCTCTGATGATTGAACTTGTAGAGCTCCATTCTGTGATGGTCTCACTGTTACCCATCCGCGACTGCTTATTTGGCGGACAACATTCATATCTAGAGGTCGTTCACCCATCTGCAACTCGGGGACGAGCTAGC